GGAATCACAAAAATTGGGGTTTTTTTTTTTTTTTTTTTTAAACAAACAAGATTTGTCATAATTACAACAGAAAATACAGGAGGAAATAATATATAGTTTATAGAAGGGCTCTTTGAATAGTTTGTTGAACAGTGTGAGGCCTTCAAGTCAAAAAGTTTAAGAACCCACTGTGTTTCTTGGCTAAAATGGTTGTCGGTTGTTAGGTTTACTTTCAGTCTTCTGAGCTGCCCCATTTATTACTGATAAATTGAAATGTTTTACTTTCAGGGTTTTGTTTTTTTTCTCTGACTTAGCAGTTAAACTTTGTGTCAAATGGTCATGATCAGTATTTGTTTTGACTGGTTACTGAAGTTTAAATCAGAGTTGGGTTTAAGATCCTTGCCATCAAATAAATTTGATGTCTCAGGATGTGATCGTTGTGGCCCGTATGATCTTCAGGGTCACAGATCAAGCTGCTCTGGTTTCCTCAGTAAAAGTCAGACCAACAGATAATTAAAAACGTTCCCACTAAGGGTGCATGTGACATATGGAACACATCTTTCATGGGCCAAGTGACTTGTCCAAATTCCACATTATTACAGAAAGAAATAAAAGCGACATTTAGTGGAACCAAATTTTTCATTGAGCTTCTAGCGAAACGACTTGGCACCACATCAAACAAGCAATATTCGGTGGCAGAGAAAATAAATTCAAAACAAGATGCAGAATTTAGGATACAGGACTTTTATTTGAAAAACGTGCCTATTGAGGTTTTTCATGCCTGCGTAGTTCCTGTTAATTGTTTCTTTTAAGAATCTGGGTCGGCTGGGAGTTATCAGACATTTGTTGCATCAGTATCATAAACAATCTTAGCTAAAATGATGTAAATGTTGATGATGCTGTAGTCATCGCTCTATACACATTGCAAAGTGCACATTGTAAAAGATTCTGTTATATACAAGTGTATATATTATTATGACTTCTAAACAATCTGGTGCTTGACATGTGCTTCTATTCTCAGTTAGATGACGCTAATATTAATGTCTGTCTGGAATATAAAAACATGGAGGATTTTATGTGTCACAGCCAGAGTTTATCAGTTCTTGGCAAAACAAAAGTTCAAGAAATCTTTATAAAGGAACAGAAAATGTGGAAGAGAGAGTATTTTTGGATGGTTTATTTCAAACATCACTGAAATAGAAATAGAAAGCGACATCTGTAGAATAGAAAGTATTTGGACCCTTAACCATTTTTTTAAGTTCTCTGTGATCTTTTTTTGAATCTCGGGCAATTGTCCTCTTGCTGATGGTTATTCAGTTTGAATAATAAGCTAAATGTTGGCTGTGAAAATGTTACCAAAGAAGCCAGGGTAAAAGCTAGAGTAAAATAAATTCTAAAAATGACAAATATGTGATTTGACTCAGGAAGAGGATGCTATATCAAACTATTGTAAAAAAGTTTGTCTCTCAAAATTCACTAATATGATCCTCAGGGGGAAAGAAAAGAAGAGAATGGTCATTCTGAAGGGCTTCAGTAGCTGAGGCCAAAGTAAAAGTGCACTAGTTTGTCATATAAAGAGCTCTACAGAACACAAGAGGATAGATGAAGCTGTTATTTAAGAACCATATTAAGCACATCTGGAGTTTGCCAATAATGTATAATAGTAAACCAGAAAGAAAGGAGTTTGTAGTCAGATGGTCAGACTTGGATTAAGCTTTAAATCAAATTTCAAAGCAAGATGTGTGGTGCAAATCAAATGCTGTCGACTAACACTAAATTTCAGGGAAAAGTTAATTTTCGCAGCAAGAATTATCACACAGGCCAAATTAAAGGAGTATTCTGGTTTCAATAGAAGTTAGGTTAGCTTGCATAACTGCAAAAAAAATATTTAGACATATCCCTCATTTTGTTCATTGTATTAGCTAAAAAAAAAAATATGAGCAAAAATAGAGGTTATGGTGAGGCACATAAAATGGAAGTGAATGGGAACATTTTTGAGGGTTTAAAATGTTGTCAATAGTTGATATTCATTCTTCTGTTAAAGCTTGTGTACTATTTGGCCAGTCAAATTGTTCTTATTTTTACAGTCATTTCTGGTAGTAAGTTGTCATAGTGACAAAGTTGTAAAACTTTTTTTTTAACCATTAAAAAAAAGTTTCAGTATTTGTAATAGAAATACCACAGAGAACCAACTTGCAATGTGAGATTTGGAATGTCAAGTTTGAGTGAAGCATTAATTAAATGTCTTAATATTTTTTTGCAAGGCATTTTATAGTTGCTGTGAGCTCACAATTTAGTACATGCAATTTCTGTCATTAATATCCAGCTTATATTTCATAAGCATCCATGCTGAATAAGCAAGAACGAAGTTAATAATACTTTGACACTGCAACAGAATTTGCCTTGCATTAAACAGGACATTGGATGATGTGTAATTTTTTTGCAGGTAGTATATATATTTTATTTTTGCACATTTAAGCTTGTGAGACCTAGTGTTTCTGGTCAGTGTGATAAAAGTATGCCTGGCTTTTTGCCTCCCAGAGCCTTAGAGGGGAATTCAGAGAATGTTTCCAGCTCTCTCATTCCTCCTGGAATGAAAGTACAATACATAGACCTTTTTTTTATCTGTGTCTGTTAGATATGAACTCTTCTCGTTGTTTACATAAAATCTTCAAAGGCAGCTGAGCCAAATATTTCAATTCTGAGAGGAGAAGCAGGTATCCATTCACTACTGTGAATGTGTGTTTTATTAGACCAGACAGGGTGGTGACAACAATCACAGAAAATCCAATACTGAACCCATTATCGTCCATGGAATCAAATCATCATGCTTTTAGTCCTGGGTTGCAAAGACAACACTATATCTAAGATTGTCGCCAACAAGACCCAAAAATGGACAGCAGAGCAACACTTCATGGGTGATGCATGTGCGCTGCTGTGATGGTTTTTATATATTTCACCAGGTTCTCTTTGAGAGTGGGCCAAACACATACTTTACATCTCAACAGCAGTAAGCTATGTAAGGAAATGTTTTGCTAGTTCTACTGTGGAACACTTTATGGTGAACAGAGAAGCAGTGGAATTCATTTTAACTTGATCTATACTTTTGAGGTGTTTTTATTTTCGGAAGATCATGCTTCTTTTATTCACACTTGCTTGTTTTATTTGCATCATCAAGATGGCACCGCACACGGCGTGTGCTTGGCTCTCCAGTGTTTGTAATGTTTTTTGTTTTTTCCTGTTTTTTGTTTCTCAAACACGATCAGTTTTACCAGGGATGAACTGCTGAACATTCGGCAGAACACACCACAAAATCTTCTACCGGATTTCGATTATTCGGACGTTTTGCTGAACGTTGTAGTTGGCGGAGCTGCGGCGCTGATCAAGCTTCAGGACGTGCAGATGGGGGAAGAGAGCCGGCGTGCTCGTGAAGCTCAGGCAGTGTGGATTTCGAACGCCGTTGCCTAGCATCCATCTGGCAAATCTCCGCTCTCTTCCCAACAAAACGGACGAACTTCTTCTGCTCTCCAGGACAAACAAGGATTTTCAAACTCTGCTGCTCTGCGTTTCACGGAAACCTGGCTGAATGACGCCATTCCGGACAGCGCGTTACATCTGCCCGGCTTTCAGCTGTTTAGAGCAGACCACGACGCAGAATCAACGGGGAAATCACGCGGCGGCGGGACATGTTTTTACATCAACGAAAGGTGGTGTACAGATGTTACAGCGTTAAAGAAGATGTGTTGTCCCGATCTAGAAGCGCTCTTCGTTAACTGCAAGCTGTTCTATTCGCCGCGGGAGTTTTGCTCGCTCATTCTCGTGAGTGTTTACATTAATCCTCAAGCGCACGTGTTACACACTGGAAAAGGAGATCAGAGTGGCAAAGAGGAATTATACTGGAAAGCTAAAGAACCAATTATTTTCCAGTGATCCTGCTTCAGTGTGGAAAGGTCTGAAAGACATAACCAATTACAAGACACCATCCCCCAGCACTGTGGAGAATCAACAACTGGCAGACAATCCGAATGAGTTTTATTGCAGGTTTGAAAAAACACCATTCACTCCTCCTGCAACCCCCCTCTCCCCCCCTCCAGCACTCCAGATCAGTGAAGATGACGTGCGTCAGGTCTTCAGAAAGAACAAGAGAAGAAAAGCACCAGGCCCAGACGGTGTGACACCAGCCTGTCTGAAAACCTGTGCTGACCAGCT